GGGACTCAGAAATCGAGGTTGCCAGGGCAGCTTTGGGATTTTCAAGGCAGAGCTGGAGGCTGACTTGGAGCCCCACCCCAAGGCCGACGTTGATGGGATACCCTTGGCCGTGGAAATCCTGCCCTCAAGTTTCCAAAAGGCATTGATCCAGTCTTCAGGGGAAAGGATGGAAAATCCTCCCGCACCCAGTCTAGATCCTGTGCTGCCGAGTCCTTCCCAAGGACAAGGCGAGGAAGGGGACAGCTCACCTTTCTGAGGAAAGTCCTCTCCGGGCCCGGCTGTCTTCTGCTCCTGCCAATTCTGCAGTGGGTCTTTGTTGAACGGGTTCAGGTGGCCCTGTCGGAAACGGGCCAGCTTCTCATCATATTCCATAGCAGTCCAACCTGCTGGAAGCCAAGGTCAAGGGGAAGAGCCTGAGCCATCCTCAAAGCATGCCTATCCCAAGCTCAGGGTCTCAGCCTGCCAAAAGCTACTGGAGTGTTTCCCCGTACAATTTCAGCTCCTCTCAGCCTGTTAAGCCTCGTTGGCATCCTCGGAAGGCAGAAAAGCCGGTTCTGCCAGCTCAGATGGTCCCCAGGTGCTTTGTAGAGTCATGAACACATCTAGCTGGACAGCTGAGAGCACTTTCTGGAGCAACATGGTTGCTGCCAGTCATATCCTAGGAATGAGTAAGAATTTCAGAAAGAAACCTCTCAAGAAAACAACCAGCCTCAGACTGCACCAAGGACTCCACCCTTCTGGAGACAGTAGAGCTGCAGAATCCTCCCCCCACCTCCTCCTGATCTATCAGCTCTGAGCTATTTGGGGTACAGAATCTCCCAGCCCCAGTTGCAGTGACCCTGATCTCCAACTCTGGGAACTCTAGCAGATGCAGCCCCCCTCCAGGCAAAGGATTCTGAGGTTACTTGCACAACTACCAAGGCGGATTTAGGGAGCTCCAGGGTGAGAGAAGGCAAAGAAGGGAAGGGAGCTGGAGGAGTCTGAAGCCAGCACAGCAGGAAGGTGCCCTCGGTTGCTGTCCCTGAACAGCACAAGAGACAGAAAAAAAGAGGAGGGGGCTATGCTCCTGTGATTGGGGGGTCTGAAAAAGGACATTCCATCCCACCACGTTTCCTAATTCTCCTATTTGACTCTTTTGTTCTGCCTCATTTCCTCAAGGAGGCTTTAAAATGACATCATCCAGAGCATCCCTGCTTTGCTGAGCCTAACAGCTGGGTGGATTCTCACCAGAAAGTCTCCCTAATGATGAGGATGGTGATGATAATGATGCTTTTATCCCACCCACCCAGGGGGAGGGGGGAGGTAGTATTGAAGGCCCTGCTGTTTCCACCCAGTGTCTGCTGAATAACTTTTCAGGGAGGCCACTATCAGCTCAGCAAGAGCCTGAGTTTTTAAAGCGCACGCCTCAGGAATGCCATAAAGGAGAATTAGAATTAAACATGAAAAAATGTTTTGCTGAAAGTCTTGAATTTGGTATCAAACCACCACTTTGAGACCCTGGGACTTAAAACCATTAAAAATAATGAGACTAAGCCTGGATCACTACTGAATAAATGTGGATCTTTAGACTGTGGATATTGGTTTAATTGGACATCAGGATAAGCCATAAGCCAGGGCTGGGTTCACATATCACACAAAGACAAAACCAAGCAAGCCCTGTAAAGGCTTAACTGTTGAACTCAGCTCAGGGTAATCACGCCAGTATCTGTTTCCATATCCCTGGAAGAAGCCTGCCCTCATCCTGGCCTGTAGACCAGGGGGAGAAGCCGAAGCTTTCAGTCAGTATGTCAGCCTGCTCCGGCTACAGCCCGAACGGCCAAAAAAGGGCCCAAACAGGCCACGAGCAGACCCCTGGGAAGACAGCAGGCCGCACGAGGAGGCGGGGCGGAGGGAGGGCAGGAGCTGATTCAAGGGGGCCGGGGGCGGCCGGGAGGCACGCAGACTTTGCATTACAATGGGAACCGGTTCAGGTAAAGCGCACGAGGCTGGGCTGCCACTTGGCCGGGCCAGCTGAACCGGAGCGGGGCGCCTCGCGCGGACCTGCCCGCAGTAGCACCAGACGGGGGGGGGGCATTGCGGAAGCGGCCCCGGGGCAGAGGGAGCCCAACCGGAGGCCTCCGGATGCGGAGAGCCCCCAGCGCCAGGCAGCCCGTTCCGGGGGCCGCCGCGAAGGCCGGGAGCCGCGGGAGCCCCGCCGGAGAGGGGACGGGTCGGAGGAGCCGCCGCCCCCGCTGCGGCCCTTACCTGCGCGCCCATGGGGAGGGGAGGGGCCCGGCCCGGCCCGGTCGGCTGGCCCGGACGCGCCGCTTCCTCCGCTCGCTACATTGCAGCCCGCGGCCCGCTGAGCCGAGCGCGCCCACAGCGGCCGCGCCGCCCGCTGCTGCCCCCGCGCGGTCGGAGGAGCGCGGCCGCTCGCGGAACTCGCGTGCCGCCTCTGCGGCTGTGCCGAGCCCGGCCGAGCACCCTGCCGCCCACCCCCCGCCGCCGGTTCTCCTGCCGGGACCCCCCCCACCGCCTGGACGGCGGCGCGAAGGGCCCTGCCGGGCTGAAGAGCCCCGAGGGCTTCGCGTGGCCCCTTCTGCTCCCAGGGCCGACTGGATCTCCGCCCGCCTTTCCCATTATTACAACGCCCGAGGCGGCTTTAAACAATGAGAAAAGCCGGGCACGAAATGCCAGGCAGACGGAGGCCAGAAGTGCGCTGCCCCCGGGCCCCCCTTCCTTTTCCCGTCTCCTCTGAGCGCGACTCCGGCCGCCCTCCGGCCCTTCGAGAGGGGCCCGGGGGCCGTTAAGGGCTCCCCGATGGGCGGGGCTGGGAGAGCTGGGGGCCTGAGCAGGCGGGTGGGAGAGCCCCCTCCCTTGGTTCCTTATGCAGGTCACCCAGCCGAGGGCCGGGCGAGGCCCCCAGGGACACCCCTCTTCTTCTGCAGGGGAGGAACCAGGTGCAGCAACGGCCCAGAATGGCACATCAGACCCAGTGGGGCAGTGAGGCAACCAGGGCTGCACCTGAGGGGTCAACCTCCTAGCTTTGGTGCCCTGGTGCCACGTAGATGACTCTGGCTACAAGTGGCGCTTGTTGGGGCCTCCACGCTCAAAGGACTGGCAGCCACTGGCAGCAATTCTGTGCTCTGGAATTAAAGAAAAGCTCCTTTTAGGGATCCTTGAGTTTGTTTTTTCAGGACATTTTTTTCATTGAAGCATGACCATCTTCCATTTGTTCATTTGAACAAAACTGTGAGAACTGTTTTCCTCAGGCCGGGTCCAGGTCAATGAAGAAACGCAGTGGAGCTGCCTATTTGCAGGGACTTTCTGAGCATTTCCTTGGTTCCTTGAGGCAGTTACGTCTGTCTCTCTGAGAACAGGCTGCATTGCAAGTGCCAAGAAGCAAGGGCCTGCAGCAGAACCCCCCCCCCTTTGCTATCAGTTCAAAAGCTGAGTTGATTCCTCTTCTTTTTCCTTCGTTTTCATTCAGGCAAGGCCTTGAGTCTTGGGTTATTGGTGGAGATAGCATTTGCAGGGACGAGGGGTCAAAAATGGTCCTTGTGACCACACAACTTAAGCCCCACCTCTTTTTAATATATGCATCACTTGCAAGTGCCATCTTCATTTTTTTGATCCCACTGCAAGGAACCTTTCTGGTGCTGCAGCCATTCCCTCCCCCCCCCCCCGGGTCAGAACCACAAGGAAGACAGCTGGATGCTGTTGTTAGTGGCAACCTTTTGGGCACCAGGGATCGGTTCCGTGGAGAGAGGTTTTTCCGCGGACCAGAGGGTGCATGGTTTGGTGTGCTGCCTGCATCTCACAGATGGGGCTTTGCTTGTTTGTGCGGTTGCTGGCATGCCACGGCCTGGCACCGGTTCACGGACGGGGGGTTGGGGACCCCTGCATTAGCATCCCCATGGTACAAAGTGGGACATCAGCTCTACCTGGCCAGATGGAGGGAGGGAGGGGCCTGTTGGGCACTTTGCCAGAGCCCCGGAAGTGCTCTATGCTCACTCGCCCCCCCTCCTGTCTCACTAAATAAAGGCCAAAAGGGAAGACTTGTACCCAGAAGCTTCTCCATGTTTTCCTGAAACAGATTTGCGTGGGTCAAGGCGGAACACGCCTCTTGTTTTGTTTAAGGACAGCCCTAAGAAATAGGAGCAGCCGTGAGCAGAAAGGGCTCTTTACTCTTTCTGGGAGAAGCTTCCCTGAACCCCAGAGTTGCTGTTTGTCAACTGCCAACCTTTCTGGGCTCAGTGGACCAGGGAAAGGCACCTCCTTGTGTCTCTGAGAGTGAAAAACAGAGAATGGCCAGCACAGACATACCCGCAAGTTCAGAGGCTGCAGCAAAGGGAGGCAGAGAAGGTGAGTGGCCTTTTGTGCTCTCCCAGCTGAGCCAGGGAAGAGCTTCTGGGCTGTGCTGCATTCTCCCTGGCAGCAAAACTGAAAAAGCCTCAAAGAGCAGCCGGGAAAGAAGGTGAGAACTTGTGCAGTTGGGCAGCCTTCTCACCTGCAAGACATGTCTAAAGGCCATTGAGAACATGGCAGCCACTGCTAGATATGCCACCGTCTGCATGATGCTCCGAGGGGAAAGATGCAGTTGCATGTGGAGTAACCCACCCACGTTCAGCCAAGACAAACGTCAACATCAAGGTTGCTGCTGCTAACCCTTCTGACTTCTCCCTATTGGTACTTTGGCCCGGCCCCATGGCAGGCCCAGAAGAGGTAGATTGTGATCCCTTTGCCCTTCAAGGAGATCCATCCAGCTGTGACCACCTGATCCCTCTGGCTTGTTTCCAGGATCTGTCAGGCAGCCCTTCTATCCAGCTCCACAAGCAAATCCAGTGATGGCCCTACAAGGAATGGCCTTCAGCAGTCCAGCATCATCTTGCTTGTGGCCACAAGCAAGTAAAAAGACAGCCCACCTAAACAGGGACCAAAGGAACGGACATCGCACACGTCCATATTTGTTGACCCACCCACCGAATCTCTAAGTGGTAGAAAGCGGACAGCTCACAAGCTGGACAGCAATAAATTTATTAAGTATTCCAAAACATAAAAATAGACACAGACCAGTAAAAAGTAAAGAATAGGGTCCTTGAATTTATCAAAGTGACAAACAGAAGGAATTGCACTAACTCATAAAACTGAAGATTGGGGAGCAGGAAGAAAAGATGGTCAAATACTGAATTTTTAAGTTTTGGAACGCTTGAATCAGAAATAACTAGAAGCCAGTTGTCTAAAACTCAGCAGATGGGAAAGTTGGTGATGAAGACGAGCCAGGGGGTTGTGTCAAGGGTGGCTTCTTCCCAGGGAGTGCAGAGTGTTGCTCCTAGCCAGCCCCTCACTTGGCACCCTGGGCTTCAGATTCTTCCTCGTCATCTTCATACATCTCCCCTTCCTCTTCAGCGGTGGCATCCTGGTACTGCTGGTACTCGGAGACCAGGTCGTTCATGTTGCTCTCCGCCTCTGTGAACTCCATCTCATCCATGCCTTCCCCAGTGTACCAGTGGAGGAAGGCCTTGCGCCGGAACATGGCTGTGAACTGCTCTGAGATGCGCTTGAAGAGCTCCTGGATGGCAGTGCTGTTGCCAATGAAGGTAGAGGACATCTTCAGGCCACGGGGCGGGATATCACATACAGCCACCTTGACGTTGTTGGGGATCCATTCCACAAAGTAACTGCTATTCTTGCTCTGGATCGCAAGCATCTGCTCGTCCACCTCCTTCATAGACATGCGTCCTCTGAAGACTGTGGCCACAGTGAGGTAGCGACCATGGCGGGGATCGCAGGCAGCCATCATGTTCTTGGCATCAAACATCTGTTGGGTGAGCTCAGGCACAGTCAAGGCTCGGTACTGTTGGCTCCCGCGAGCCGTCAGGGGAGCAAAGCCGGGCATGAAGAAGTGGAGGCGAGGGAAGGGAACCATGTTGACCGCCAGCTTGCGCAGATCTGCATTGAGCTGCCCTGGGAATCTCAGAGAGGTGGTCACACCACTCATGGTGGCAGAAACCAGATGGTTGAGGTCTCCATAGGTTGGGGTGGCCAACTTGAGGGTCCGGAAGCAGATGTCATAGAGGGCTTCATTGTCGATACAGTAGGTCTCATCTGTGTTTTCCACCAGCTGGTGGATAGACAAGGTGGCATTGTAAGGCTCTACCACAGTGTCAGATACTTTGGGGGAAGGCACCACGCTGAAAGTGTTCATGATCCGGTCTGGATATTCTTCACGGACTTTGCTAATAAGGAGGGTCCCCATGCCAGATCCTGTGCCCCCACCGAGGGAGTGAGTGAGCTGGAAGCCTTGCAGACAGTCGCAGTTTTCACATTCCTTTCTCACCACGTCCAAGACGGAATCCACCAACTCAGCACCTTCTGTGTAGTGCCCCTTAGCCCAGTTGTTCCCTGCACCACTTTGACCTATGAAAGAAGAATTGAGATACCTGCATTTTTCCTTGCCTAAAAATACTTGAGTCTGCCTCAGAAACCAAGAAGGCCTTGAAGAACAATCTTAGTCTGAGTTGGAGCTTGTGTGCTTCTCACTGCCTTTGGCCTAGCTGGTTCCCCATCAGAATCACCAATCCCACCAGGGCCTTTCCATTCCTCCTGACCCAGAGATGCAATTCCACCAATCCCAGTAGCCTGAACAAAACAAATCGAAAGAGAAGCTGTGCCATCTCCAGGGTGCTAAGTTGAGGGAGAGAGGGAAGAAGATCCGGACAAGAGGAGCAAAAGAGGGACAATACCAAAGATGAAGTTGTCTGGTCTGAAGAGGTGTCCAAAAGCACCTGAGCGAACACTGTCCATGGTGCCAGGTTCCAGGTCCACCAGGATGGCTCTGGGGACATATTTGTGAGCTGGAAAGACAAAGAACATTTTCCCTTGAGTGGACTAACTTAGATGGTTCATCGACCAAACAGGCACTTGCATTTATCCAACATGGTTCCTCTCTCCACTCGAGTAATTTATAGAGCTTGGTCCCTCCCCAAGTGCTCCATGCCGGCGGAGAACCAGCACGAGTTCCTTTGCCAAGAATCGCACCAAAAACCCTACATATGAAGGCTCAAAGCATCTCATGCTCCTTGCCATCCCTTTATGCTTACTTCTACTGACAGTGCTATGCTCAAAAGGTGTCTGGCCAAATGACCCCTCTCCTGGGTTTGGCAACCCGTGAGCCACTTCCTTGTTCTCAATGCCAGCACAGTGTGGGCTAGATAAAAACGATTGTGAGGCCGCCTTTGTATAGACTTCATTTTCTCCCTGCTAGCATTGAAAGTGCCCGAGGGAAAGACCTGATGTCATATAGGAGGACCTATTTATCGAATGGGATGGTTGGCCTGTGTAATTTCCAAGAAAGGATCAGAGGGAAATCCTTGGAGTCAGAGAATACTGGTTAGGGAGGGAGCAGAGCTTACAGGAGGCTTCATTGTAGTACACACTGATCCTTTCCAGCTGCAGATCAGAATCCCCGACATAGTTCCCACTGGGGTCTATCCCATGCTCATCACTGATCACCTCCCAGAACTGAGAAAAGAACAAGAGAATAAAAAAAATGAGATACATTATTTTGATATCTTCAACAAATAAGAATAGGAATCAGAGCATTACCAGATGATTTATTCTGCTTTTATACTTTGAAAAAACATTCCAAGTTGTTTTCTGTTATGTCCGCCTTTTGCCAAACAACTCAATAGGCAACCTTTTCCCCACAGTCCCCCCCCCCCAAAAAAAACTCAGAATATTTTGCCCAAGCAGCCAAGTCAATGACCTCTTCCCTAGGAGAAATGGTATGCTAGCTGAGGGACCTGGCCAGGGTGCTGAAACTATCCCTTCTCGTTCCTTGAAGGCATTCCCAGCTCTTGGCATACATGGGGGCAGAGTGTGTGTGTCCTATCCCAGCCAACCAGGGAGGGAAGCTTAATTGCCATGGGGCTTCTCTTAGCCCTCAATGTGCTTAGCTGTAAAGGCACATCTGGCCACAGTCCGAAAGCCAATTAGGCTACAACAACAAGCTGAAAAAGGAACAGGGCGTTTTGCCCTTGAAATCAGATCCAGGAGAGCAGATCCATTTCTGCAAACTAATCCAATTGAGAAATAAAGCTCTCGACTTCTGCGTATTGGTGCAAATACACTGGGATCAACAGTCGGATGCGGACTGCAGCAAGGGCATCACATGTTCCCCAGAGAGCCTTGAAGGGCAACGCTCATCAGGATCCGGTTTCTAACACTTGGAACAAAAGCTCCATCTTGTAAACAAGGGCTAAGCAGTGTTCCCACAGGTGACAGTCACAGCTTCTTTGGCTGGAACTTTTTATTGATTTAAAGATTCTGTTCTTTCATTGTGGAATTAGGAGTAAAGTGTAGGAGACTGCGCCATCTCTAAGTGGTTTGTGGATCCAGCAAATGGAGCTGCGATTGCTAGAGAGCCTTTCCTCACTGACAAGGTCAGGAATGGCGTGAATGTCCACGCAACACAACTATGCCCCCTGTAGATGGAGTGTTGTACAAGGATGGAAAACTGCAGATCCAAGAGGAGTCTTCCAGATTTTTTTTTTTAAAGCAACAGGATTGTCTAAACTCTCTTTTGTCTTTAGCCAGGGAGCCAAGAACTTCAGGTAGATTTGAGGACCAGCCTTTTTGTGAACTGGCCGGCTGCCTTAGCAGAGAAATTACATCTGATCTGGGCCGTGGAAGCCCAGCCGACACCAGGCTCAGCCTAGTGGATCACAGGCTGAGATATCCCAGTGGGGTCAAGTCAGCCGGCTGAGGCCCAAGTGAGGGAGACAGGCTGAGATGGCAAACTGATGGCAGCTTCTTATGCAATTTCAACCTGCGTACCAGGATGGCCTTCATAGAGTTGCAAGTTATATTAAATGAAGAGCCAGTCACATGATAGGAATAAGTGGAAATAGTTGCCCTTGAGGAAATCATACCCTCTTCTGTGTCATGCAACAAAACTCATGTGCTGGGACTGCACTGATGCGGGACTCTGGCCATAGGTCAAAATTGCCCCGGAAAACTCCTCTTAAATCTTCTTACAGGGGGCTGGGAACATGGAAAGGCCAATCTCAGTCCTGCATTGATCCCATTCTCAGTTACAGGATCTGTGAGTTTGCAATGGCTTATTCATCATAACTAGTATATGCATGAGGCTGCTTAAATAGCCCATGGAGGAAAAACCTGTTTCCCCCCCCCTCCCTCCCATCACTTTTCATGACAGTCTACCTGTCATCCTGGTATATCTCATGGGGGGGAGGGGATATAAAGATTATGTAACCTGGGTAATTTAAAGGGTGTCCCATGTAATTCATTTGCAGTGAAGCTTAATTCAGAATTCGATTAGATCTCAGATTGAAGACTGATATTCCATGAAATATTTCTCTCACTGAAGTTGGTAATACAAAATAATGTATTCATATAATACTGCTGCTTTTAAAAAAGTTTCTTTGTTGTGGAGCAAGATTTCCTTGCTGCAGAGCTGGGGCAAACCCCCCCCCCCATATCCCAGAACAACCCATGGAAGATTCAGCTGCTTTGTCAGAAACCAATCCTAGGGGTGGGGAGGGGGAAGGGAGAGCTCATTATTCATCGGAGGCCCTGGGCTGTGTGGGGCTGGCCCCTCCCCCCTAGGATAAAGGCAGGCTGTCCTTCCTCAAAGGAAGGTAGGTGGGTGGGAGGGAGGGCCCCCAGGCTCAGCTGCCAAAGTGCTCCGGAGGCTGATTTGATTTCAGGCTGCTGTGCTCCTCCACCCACGGGGATAGGCACAGCCTTAAGTAGTGAGATCTCACTGCAGGGAGGTGGCCTTCTTTTTATTCAGAGCAGGCACAAGTGGGGGGGGGGTAGAGAAGGGGACTGGAGGGATGATTAGCCAGCTTTGTGGCACTGAGTCATGGCAGTTGGAGTCTCACCTTCACAAAGCCTCGGCTGCCCTGCCTTCTCTTGGCAGAGCCTTCTTGGGATCCGTTCGCTCTCTGCCCAGAGGTTTCCTTCCTCCCACCAGCAGCCCCCGTCCTGGCATCGTTGTTCCTTTCAAGCAGTAGGTTCTCATTGGTCTCCCTGGCTCTTTGTCTGCTGTCCAGACACCTGCTGCCCTGGACTCTCGGGAGTGGGAAGGGGCTTGGGGGGGGGATGGGGAGTCCCTGCCTCAGTCGGCGCTGCCCGCTAAGCTGGGAAAGTCCTTCAAGGACTCTCCTTCCCACTTTGCAGCTCCCGAGATTGAGACGCAAGAGAAAGCGGCCAACCCGCCTCCATTCCGGCTAAGGAGAGAAAGGGAGACGCCCCTCCTCGGAAGATCTGAGGGGCCAGAGAGACGGAGAGCTCGCTGGAAAATTGGTGGCGGGGAGACGGGAGCCGATAGGACAAGGTACCCCTCGGCTTCTGGCCTCGCCAAGGTCGAGGTGTCCGGCACGGTCTTTGTTCTGGAGATTCGGGGGTCTTTCAGCTGCCGAGCGAGACCACTCCCCGCTTTGTCTTGGAGAGGCAGGGGGAGGGGGAGTCCCGCTTCGGCCACCCTTCAGCCCACGCCCTCCCCCCGGGCATCGCCCCAAGAAGCCAGGCTACAAGCAGCCGCGTCTTGCCAAACCGGGGCAGCCGGCCGCACAAACGGACCCAGGCCGGAGAGCGGGGCAGGCGCCTCTGGCGCACCCAGCTCCCCGCCTCCCGCCCCCTTTACCTTGGCTCCGATCTGGTTGCCGCACTGGCCCGCCTGGATGTGCACGATCTCTCTCATGCTGCACCGGGGGGGGGGGCGGCGGCGGCGGCGGCGGCGGCGGAGGGCTGGAGGGCGACGGGCAGCGGCGGGAGCGGCGGGCGCGGAGCGATTGGAGGAGGCGGCCGGGCTCTGCCGGCGGGTTTTATCGGGGGCGCCTGCTGCACCCGGGCTGGGCGCTGACGTCACCGCGGACGGCTCGGCCAATCCGGAGGCGCCGCTGCAAAATACTGCACCGGCTGCAGCATCAGGACCAGGCAGGCGGCGAGGCGGCGGGTTTGGCCCCCGGGGATCGGGCGCTTCGCCCCCTCCCCGCGTCACGCAGCGCGGCTCGCGCCAGGCTCTGTCTCCCCTGAGCGCGCCGAGGGCTTCCTCCGTCGTGGGCCGCCCCCCGCCCCCGCCAGAAGACGCCGGGCTCGCCAGGGAAGCCGGGTCCTGCTCGCGGCCCCCATCCTGGGGCTGCCGGGAGGGTCGCTTTCTTTCAGCTTTTATTACGCACTTTTGGGGAACGGCACCCGAGCAGGCCGGCTGCCTGGCGGCGGGACTCCAGCGTTTGGCCCGCGGCCCCGCCCTCCGGCTCTTCGCGGCCGACGACTGCCCGGCCCCGGGGCCAGGCCGGCGCGCCAGGGGGCAGCGGGCGCGGGGCTTTTGTCCTAAGAAGAGCAGCTTTTCCGGGGGGAGGCGCGGAGCTCCGCAGGCAGGTCCAGAGAGGCGGGGGCAGAGAAACGAGCTGCTGCAGCCCACCCTGGGCGGCTCCCGCCCTTTGTTCGGGCGCCAGCATTCCGAAGAAGCCCGGCCAGGAAGCCCGACCCCGCCCGCTTTTCCCGGAGGGGGCAGAGGGAGGGAGCGCCTCCCTCCTCTTCTTTGTCTGCGTCGCGGCTGCCCTGCGGGAGGGGAACAAAGCCTCGCGTGCCCCCCCTGGCCCCTGGCCCCGGCGCGGGGGGCGAGAGAGGCGGCGTTTGGGCTGGGCCGGAGGGGGAAGCCGGACCTTGCGAGCTGCGCTCCCCCCCTCCCTCCGAGCAGAAGCCCGGTCCTTGCCGCTCCTGAGGATCTGCGAGGCTGGGGGAGCCGCCCTTCTCCTCGTTTGCCCCGGCGGACGCTGCTAACGGGCGCGATTCCAGCCGGAGGCGTCAGAAAGGCCGGGCTTTCCGCGCGTCCTCCCCCACGCCTCTCGCAGGCAAGCTCCGCCGCTCAAAGGCGTAAACCCCGCGCTTCCCTCCTCGGCGTCTTGATTAGCTCTGGAGATCGGACCGGCAGCGAGGACGGGCCGAGGCTCTGTACCTGCTTCCGAGCCACCTGGCTGCCCACCAGCAAGGATCTGTTCGTTGGCTGGCGGAGAAATGCGGGTGCGGGTGGGCTTCTCTCCCCTTCTGTTGTACCTCGCCTTCCCCACCCCGCCCCCAGGAAGGAAGGAAGGAATACTGAAAGTTGGGAACATGAGTGGCACAAACTCACTGGCATCAGATGGCAATGAACAAGGGTGCCTACAGGGTATGTGCTAAAAGTCAAGACTGCAGCCTCAGCGGAGTCATTTAAACTACCTTTTTTTAGGTGTGCCATTCTCTTGTGGCCATCTTGACTTTTTTGACCATACTGGGTGGACCTGCTTGATGTTCCTCTTTATTTTCATTCTCCTCATGCACATGCCTTCGCTGGAGCACTGTCCAGTTTATTCTAAACCCACTCTATGCAACTGCAAGGCAACTCTTTCTTGGACCCATGGAACCATGGGTAGATGCAGAGAGGCCGCTTCCACCCCCCTACCCGCAGCACTTCAGTCATAATGGGATGCCCTATGGCTGAACCTGGACCCCAAACCCCTAATCAGGCAGGCCTCCCGGATGTTCAACAATTACAAACCTTTTGATCTCCTGTTTACACAGGAGCAACCTGCAAGAATTATATTTCAGGTAGGAGAAAAAGAATCCTGATGGGTGTGTAGAAGATGGACCTCATTGCCTGGATCCATCCCACTCATCCAAACCAAGGCCCTCTGCAGTCTCAGCTGAAACCCACTCCTCAGATCCCTCTCCCCTTTAGTCAGGTTGTTGAGTCCACCCATGGCAGGCCACAGACAAACTGCTTCTTTTGTGGTCTCTTGGAGAGCAGCCTGCTTGTCCCCATCAGCCACCCCCCATGCCTCATTCACAAGGAGGGACTTCAGTCCCAGCTGACCTATCAAGCTAACTTCCTGAGTGAATTCATGTCCACAAGACTAGCCTTATCAATGATCAAAGTAGGATTTTAAATACACCCTTTGGAAACATCATGTTAAAAAAGATTGATACCTCTAAAAGTGGCTTGCAAGGAACTTCTACTAAAATCCATCCAACTGACACAAATGTGCTAATGTTGCAAAGAAGGATGCAGATCAAGGCCCCCAATTCTCCTATGACCGTGCTTCATTGGCATTTACCTTCCCTCCCCCATAGAGTGGGCAGCCATAGAGGGAGAGAAGGAAGGAGAGAGGGACCTGCAAAACCTAAAGGAAGTAAGCGCATTGATCTGTCAAAAAATGTCCTGGGGCGCCTGAAATTCAAACTTTAGTTTTTAATACAGAGCAACAACCATCCTGTACAAAAAGGTATTTGCATCCAAACTGCTAGTCTTAAAGTATAAATCCTGCCCAACGGAAAAGTGGAATTGAGTGGCTGCTGGATAATTTTCTTGTTCTCCAAGTTCTCTATTGTAGCCTCTTACAGACTAAAACTTGATCGCTCACCTCAGATTGCAGAAGAAGAGAGAGATACAGGCAAGAATCCAGCTCTCCAGAAAACGATCCCACAGTCCTGGATTGCCTTCACCGAGAGCCACCAGTTTTAAAGCAGGATTTGACCTGGGGACAGGGGTGCTAGCCCTTTGCCCTCTGCCAAACAGAACCTAAACAGAAGCTGTGGGAATCACAAGAGTATTTGCTGGGAGCAACCATAGAAGGTGGCCGCTGACACAGGACACCCGTTACAGCAGATTCTGGCAATGGTGGCTGTTTTCAGCTCCAGCCTGTGGCCATCCAATAAGCACCCGGCTGGCTACAAGGAGAGGAGAGGCCGGATGTGGGGGCCCTTCCAACAGTCAGAAACCAAAAGTGCAGCAAACCTCCTATTTCCTGTGCTGGGTCACAAAGACTCACCTGCTGGCCCTTAATGGTGCACCCGGACCCTCTTTGGGCGAGGCTGACTGCCTTAGGTTAACCCCGTGTCCTAAGGGACCCAGCCTCTCCTTCTTTGTCACCAGAAACATAGGACCACCTCTTTCAACGTTCTCCTGAGTTCCTGGCTTCGGAAAGCATAGATGATGGGGTCCACTACTGAATTGCAGATGATGAGGATGAGGTAGAGGCTGAAGTAACGGAAGTAGCACTTGCAGGCAGAGTGGCCGGGGCAGATGAGGATGAGGATAAGGTGGAGGAAGAAGGGTCCCCAACAAATCAAGAAGACTCCGAGCAAGATGGTGAGGGTAATGGCCCCCTTCATGCTGGTAAACTGGGGTGCATGCTGTTTGCTGTATAAGGTTGAAATCTGCCTGGCGTGCTGGTGTGCCAGCATGAACATGTGGATGTAGAGCCCTGCAATGAGGGTCAGCACAGAGAGGAAGAAGACCACTAGGCACAGGATGACAGCCGTGCTGTCGTAGACAATGAAAAGGACGCTGGAGGTGCTGCTGATCAGCCAGACGGCCACCATAAGGGCCACAGCCCGCTGGATGGTCATGATGCTGTGATAGCGCAAGGCGTAGAAGATGGTGATGTAGCGGTCCATGGCGATGACGCCCAGGAAGGAGAGAGAAGACATCAAGGAGCTGCAGATCAACATGTCCATGACGTTGTCGACCTGCTTGATTACAGTAGGCTCTATGATCAGCATCCCGTGTTCTATGAGGAGTATGAATAGAGTCTCTACCAGGTTGCTGACGCTCACTAGCATGTCTGAAACTGCTAGGCAGCAGATAAAATAATACATGGGGGAATGAAGGTTCCGGTTTTTGACGATGGCGGCCACCACCAGCAAGTTCTCCACAAAGCTCGTTGCTCCCAGAATCAGGAAGAGTTCACTGGGTATCACTACTTGCTGCTCGCTGGCACAGAAGGACCCATTGGTCCAGTTGGCAAGGTCAGTGGTGCTATTGGGGGAGTCCAAATGCATCCTCACTGGCAGTGTCTCAGGCATTGTGGAGGCTGCTTTGTGGGATGCTTGTGAAAAATAAGAGGGGGGCCACGAATTTTGGAAGAGCTTTTCTTCTGAAGTGTTTTCAGATGCTGCCCCAAACACCCACCTGTGGGCTACAGGTTCCTCCTCCGTCAGCAGCTTTCCTCCCAGAAAGTCTCAGCTCTGTGACAAAGCGGTTGGGATGGCAAAGCCAGCAACGCTTCACAAGCTCCCAAGTTTCCGCTGCAACGCAATTCCAGGGATCCCAGAGCGCCGGCCTCTTGGCTGTTCTTCTCCTTGGGTTCTGCCTTTGTTCAGCCTACGTAGATGAGGAGAGCGATCCCTCCGGCTTCTGTCTTGGGAAGCATTGTATTCACGTCAAACTTTCCCTGGTTTCCTTCCTAATGTTGTAATGGCTGAATTTGTGTCTGCCTCCAAAATTGATTAGCAAAAGTTAATGGCAAAGAAAGAACTCTTTCTTTCCCCCCCTTTTAAGGCAACAGACTCAGCTCCTCCTTTAGCAGAAGGGTGGAGGGTGATCCACATGACGACAAGTCAGGCGGAGAGCACTTTGAATGGCAGGGAGGTATTATGAAAGTTCCGTTATGAGTTGTAGCCTTGACAAATACACTGACCAGGGGACGGCCAAAGCTCCAGAAAAACAGGAACAAGAGAGTAGGATCATCACCTGGGCTTTTAAGGGGGAGCAGAGGAATGTGGGTCCCAGGGGGCAGCAGAGGGACAGCTTGGCCAGGCTGCCATTGCATCAGGGCCAACTGTATCTGATATATGCTGTTCTTTTAATGACTCTCGACTAGATTTCTTTCAGCGAGGTTCCCGCTGTGGTCAGGATACCCTTAAGTAGCCGATTGCGCCCTCCTTCTAAGATGGGAGAATCCACCGGTTTAGCATTTTCTTCTGCACAACTTATACACACGTACCGTACCTTACTTTCAGAGCTTTGCCTTTTTAAAAAGCTTCTACGCAGCCAGTTTTCCCATTCTATCCCCTATTTTTAACGAGTTGATGGTGGCAAAGGCTCTCTGCCCTTTGAAATATCACCTCTTGTGCAATCTACTTCCAGATCTACGTTGCTGAGGTTATTATGTGACAAGTCACTCTGTTAGCAGTTAATGTTCTTCTGAGGTTGCATCTGTGGAGACATATCAGGGGATAGTTTTTCTGGCTGTCCATATGTACTGTATATGTGCATCATAATCTCTAGACCACGCTAGCTGATGTGGGTTCCTGGGATCCCGATCTATCCAAAGCGATGCCTCTGGTGGGGACAACAGCGCACAGACAGACAGCCTAGCCCACTGGCAGGAGGGGAGGAGAGTCAGAGCAACAGAAGACCACCCTCTTTATTGAGACCAAGGAAGGCACAGTCTGGTTATTTTTCCAAGTCCCACAGCATCTTCCGTAATCTGGAAGCTGCACAATCATGAAAAGCGCATCACTGGACAAAGATTCTGTAGAGGACGGACTTTAAATAGGGAAAGCTGGGGAGAGATTGGTTGATGAACCAAGGAATGCCTGTAACCTTCCTTGCATTTACCATGTGAAGGCTGAGCAGGTTGGGAGGGAAGGAGCAGGTGAAACTTCTTCAGGTGCTCCAGGCAGTTGTCTTTGGCTTGAACCCAGTCGTTGGCAGTTGGTCTTTGAAAGGGAAGCACCAAATGAGCTCTGAAGCTGCTGTGTTTGGGCCAAAGACAATCCTCCCTGGACTGAAGAGGAAAAACCTGCTTCTCCATTACTTTACATTTGAAGTTGCAATTGGGCTTCCGAGCACAGCCAGAGGCCTCCTCGTCCTCTCTCGGGCGGAGCAGGCCTAACTGGGCTGTCAGGCAAGACAAGCAGGGCCTCGGGGCTCGTGGGTTGGGCTGGCCCAGGGGTTGCAGGCAGTGGAAATAGGCACATGCCCAGCTCAGGAACAGTTGCCGTCTTCTTTTCCTGGCAGCCTTGTTCCCCGCTTTGAAGTCTGTCCGGGTCACCCTGTTTATAAACAACTGCAGATGGGCGTGTGATGTATGTGTGTATGTGAAGGATGGAAAAGCATCTGCGTACATATTGGGGGCCATATTGGAGGCTGTACAGATATCAAGCATTCAAAACAAGGGGGAGGGGCTTTTCCACAGACCTCCCCCAGTGCAGAACAACAGCCCGCTTAGCAGCCAAGCATCTTTCCTCCCTCCCGCAAATGGTCTCTGCAAAATATCAAGACTGAAAGGTTCAACCATGGTTGTATCAAGAGTATTTTTAGAAAACATTTTCCTAACTTTTTTTAATTAAAAGGTGGTAGGATGTAACCACTGCAGCCTAAAAGAGGTGAAATGTTGGGTGGGCAGGCAGGAGGTCTTGTAACGGAGACAGAAGCAGCTCGGGAACTCTTGCTCTTTCTTGCCTCGGAGCCAGAGGGCCACAAGAGGAGCCTCCCAGAGGACGTGGGGCAGAGGACCTCAAAGGGGGCAGCTGTTGTGCCCCTGGGCTCACGGCCCCAAAGAGGCCACTGGATCATTCACAGCATCAAGAGGACTGGAACCTGCCTCGTACTGTGGCTGCCTTTGCAACCAGGGCCCATCATCCCCTCCGCCACCAATTCTCCCTGGGAGAATTTCTTCGCAAGACGATTGTTTAGCTTTGGAGAACGTTCTGACCAGCCCAATCAATTTTCCCCCACCCACCCTTGCCAACCTGCAAATCGTGCCAGGAGGCCCAGCCAGACAACCGAAGGGCAGGAACTCCCAAACAAAACAGGCTGGCATTGGCAAGGTGGGGGCCAACCAGGCTGCCCCTGAACTTCTCCCTAAGAGAAAGCCTGGTTCCCTCCACATTAACGGTTTGTTGGGAAAAAAGAGCAGGACAAAAGCATTTGCAGAGCTCTCCTCCAAAGAGCCAGCGAGGTTTGGAGCAGTGACTGAGCCAGGAAAATCCATGGGTGGGCGGGGTGGGGGGCCAGGCTGTTCAATTTCCCTTCTAAAATGCTGTCCAGCACTGAGTCCTCCTTTTATGATGGGGAGAGGGGAAAGCGGAGAGGTGCCTGCAGAGGGAAAGCACAGAGGCCAGTCCAGATTCTTCTACCTGTTTATTGTGGGTGGGGAGAGGGGAGCCAGAATTCAGTCCCAGTCTCCCCCATCGTCCTCCGGGTTGTCATCTCGGGGGGGTTCCTGGAACTGGATGTTGGCCAGCATATCCCGCATTGCTGCCATCAGCCGGTTCACTCCCTGGTTGAGGTTCTGCCCAGCGCCCAGCTCGGCTTCTCCTCCGGCACGAACTTCCCCCTGGAATGCAGTACAGGGCAGAGAGGCACCCAGGCAGATCAGTCCTCCAGAAGCCTCTTTCCCTGTCCCCAATGGCTTGATTTGGTTTACCTAAATGATTTCCATGGCCACCCATCCCACCAGGGGAAAATGCAAAACTACAGCAGACAATCTGGGCACTCACAGCTCATACAAACCCCAGAAAGAAACAACCAGGCAGCCATGCTCACCGAGCCTCTGGCCCAAATACCGGGCTGGTCCGCTGCAGCTTCTCTAGATCTATCCCAACACTTCCCCTCTGCTGCCCTTCATCCCACACCCTGGCCCACGGAGGGGCACGAGCCCTGCGCACCCCCAGGCATGTTCTGGACACACCTGCTATGGCCCTGGTCAAGCTCAAAAGGGCATCTTACCTGTAAGCTGAAGTTTGGCAGCAGTGAGCGAAAAAAAAGGGATAAAGTGCTTTCGTTGGCTGGATGAGTCGCCCTGGAAAGACAGAGGGACGTGTGGTTGAACGGCTGGGAGGGGAGAGAGGGTCTTGCTTGGGGGCCTCAGGTAGCCTCTCGGCTTATGCTCAGACTGGCCAGCCAAGCAGCGCCTGGGAACTGCCACACGCGCAATAGAACTGAGAGCCAGGAAATACCTTTCGGGTCTCGTGTATGAAACAATCGAGTCCAGGGGTGGCAGAGGATCGAATCCCATGATGGGCTGGGAAGTCACTTCCTTGAGAGAGGAAAACAACAGGTCAGGGGTCATTGCAGTCACTATCGTCCAGCCTTCACCTATTGAGCCGTTGAATAAGGCATCTTTACAACCCCTGTGAAAGATGGGCGTACGCTTGGAAAGAAAAGCACAAAGGAAGACCAAAAGGGGTCAGCCAAGCCAGACACAAGGACGGAGGATGAATGGAAACATTTCCAGGGAAGAAACAGTGAACCAAGGATGGCTCCGTGGAAAACCAGTGGACAGGAGAGAGCATGAGAACCGGTTTGGTCTAGTGGGGAAAGCACCAGGCTAGAAACCAGGAGATGGTGAGTTGTAGTTCTGCACTAGGCACAAAAGCCTGCTGGGTGACCAGTTCCTCTCTTTTGCAGGACTGTTGTGTGGAAAACAGGAAGAGGAACGAGTATTGCGTTTGCTGCCTTATTTATAAAATACACTTTGGACACCAGTGCCAGAGCTACACCAGGGATGGAGGGCAAGGAAAGTTGCTGTATGCGAAGAACAAGAGCCAGCAGGAGGGTCAGGATGAGGGGCCAGGGAATGGCCCAGGCCTAGAGATGAGCAGCAGCATCGGATCCTCACCGGAGGTAATGCAGCTGTGGCTTCCCTAATCTCCGAGAGGATCACATGGCGGTAGACATTCCTGGGGGCATTTTGATATCTTGCCTTTCGCCTAGAGAGAGAGAGAGACAGAGATGGGGGGGGGGGTGGATGCCAACAGTCTCCTCCAAGCAGCTTCCTCTCACCCAGAGCTTCCTCTCCCAGGTGCACGGAAGCAAAAGCACCTGAGACCTCCACCCTTTTCTGCACCAGCCACAAGTCACACTCTCAGCTTATGGCGGGAGAATGGGCAGTGCTGAACGTCCTGAGCAAGGAGGCCAGTCAGCCAGCAGAGAAAAGGCACCAGCAATTGCCCAACTCACTTTTGTTCTGCCTCCTCCAGAAAGGGCTCCTTGGCATCCACCAGTCGCAGCACCGTGTGGACATTGGTCTCCAGCCAGGCCATGACGGCCAGGTCCTTCCAGAGGGCATGGCTCCTCCCCAGGTAGAGGGAGACCAGTTGGCTCAGCGCTGATGGCACACTGGGGAGGGGGGGGGAGATGGCTTTTAAGAAAACCGGTTCTGGGGGATGAGATGCTTGTTCCACCACTGCTTTGGTGCAGCTGGTTTTGAAACCTTTCCTCTGTCCCTTTCACACCATTCGCCTTGCAGAAGGAGGCCGAGGGGGAGGAGGAGTTCCAGACTCCTTGTAATGACAGGCCATCAGCCTCAAACCCCCAACCTCGCCAGCCTCATCCCCAGCGACTGCCGAGGAAAGCTGCCTGAAGTAGCTTAGAAGTAGCATTTGCTTTCTGCCTCTCCCACTGGCAAGATTTCATTTATCCTCCTCGTTATCAATTTTTGGCTCAAATGGCTTTTTTGCCATCCCCACTTGGCAGCTCCTGCCCATAGTAGCTCTCCATGTCCCCATGTGGGATCCAGCAAAGTGCCCCCCCACCCTTTACCTCAGCTGAGCTTCCAGTCCAAAGAAGGCATGGGAGGTGACCACAGGGTCAGGTTGCACGCTGCATCGGTCCAGAAGGGGCATCAGGGCTGGAAGGGGGGGGGGAGGAGAGAGTCAGGGCCTTCCCTGGAGGGCAAAAGAGCTCAGGCCTCCTTATCAATGCTGGGGGGGAGGGGGGGGCTACCGAGGCACAGAAAAGGCCTTCTCAGTCCCTTTGTTCAGTTTGGGAGGCATTTCTCTCTCTCTCTCTCTCTCTCTCTCTCTCTCTCTCTCTCTCTCTCTCTCTCTCTCTTTCTCTGTATGTGTAAAGACAGATTCATCTTTACTCATGTTGGAGATGTGACATTTGGCGCTTTTCTTAATTGCAACTCCCCCCCCCCTTGCTGCACTCCCACCCCAGGGGCCCCTCTTCCTCTCTGCTGCTCCAGCCCAGCATCTGCACATGAGCTGGGTGGGATGCAGGGGCTCACTTACCACTGGGGAACATAATCAGGGCCTGCTGAAGGAGGCGGTCCGCTTGCTCACGGGCTCCACTTCGCTCTGCTTCAGGCAGATCTTCCTGCTGGCTCAGGAAGAAATAAGCCAGAGGGATGGAGAAGGCAAAATTGGGGAGCTGGCTCAGATTCCGATGACCCTGAAGTGGGGGGGGGGGGAGGAGAGGAAG